GATGTGTTTTATTTTGATCATGGCCATTAAGATTCTTTTAAGAGTTAAGACTTCACGAATGTGGTGAGGTAGTCTGATATAATAGTAATTTTTATCTTTAAAATTTATATATTTTATCAATTTAATTTTAATTTGAAATAATTTAATAAATTCTCAATATTTAAAAATTTATCAATCGATCCTATTTAAATTTGAAATATTCAAAACTTCCAATAAGATACTATTGAACTATGTTTCGATATAACAATTTAAGGCAAAATGGTTTTTGGACTTGAATTGAATTTACAAAATGTATTTGGACTTAATTGAATTTATTCAAAATTTACAAAAATAATTCAAAGTTCTTTTAAATTAAAATTGAGCACAAAAATGTTTTTATGAATAGTATTTTACTATTTGAACAATAAATTACTATTTGAACAGTAAATCACTGTTTAAACAGTATCCCGACTAAAAATTTCCCGTATGTAAAAGGGGAACCGATTCCCCCCAAGGGGGTACGATTCTCTCACTGTTCATCAGCCCAACGGTCATAATATTTGAATATTATGAAGGGGTACCGATTCCCCCCATTCTGGACAGCCTATTTTTGTAGAAAAATTATTCCCAAGCGGCTCCAAAACATCCCCAACGGCTAGATATGACTTCAAATACATTCCAAGCTATAAATACAAGCTAAGGACACTTGAAGAAGTAATAGAACAACTATCCAAGCAATCAAACACAAGAGAAGAGTTTTTCATTCTTATTTCATCTTTCTCTTGTAAATATTTTGTTCTTGTGAGCTTAATTCTTGTAAACACCTACCTTAGAGAGGTTTTATTGTTTACATCTTTTATCCTTTTGTAAAGGGGAAAGGTTCAAGCTTAGCCCGTGTAAAAGTTAGGGAAATGTTCTAGTTTAGCCCGGAAAAACTAGGGATTTGTAAGGTTACTCTTTATCCTCAAAAGAAAGAACAAATTAGTGAATTTGTTGGAAAATCCTTGGTGAGGAGCTAAGGTAGTGGACGTAGACTTTGGTTGATAAAGTCGAACCACTATAAATCGCTGTGCAATTCTCTATCTTTCAATCTCCTTACTCCCTAAACACAAAACCGTTCCGACCCCTATTTGCAAATCGTTCTGGTTGTCATTTCGAGCTTCCAAAAATCCCAACAGATACGACACGTATCATCGTCTTATTGGTGAATTTTTTAAAAAAATATAAAATGGAATTAAAAGGGGTCAACCTCAATTATTTTATATGATTGACAATTATTTTTTGTCAAATTATATTGTAATTATCTATTTTGTTGTAGTGGTTAAGTGTTAATTGATGTTTTAAGTCTCCGGATCGATTCCTTCTAAATTCATTTTGTAATGAGGATCAAACTGATAGGATTCTTAAATATTGAAGATTTATTAAATTATTTGGAATTATAAACACATTGATAGAATACATAATTTTTTTGGATTAAAACTATTATTATACCAAACGGAAAAAGTTTTAATGACTGAAATATAAAAATGATACTAATTTGACCACCAATAGAATAGTTTATCCAGACACTTAATTGTGAGATTAATTATTATATACAATTATCTAATTATCCCTAATCAATACAAAGTTGAGTTACTACTAAAAAATGATTGTATCTTGTACAATATTCCTAATATCTTTTTTACTCTTTTTAGCTTTTGAAATAATCTAGAATTTATTTCTTTCTAAATCAAATAAGTATATTTGCATACCACACGCAATCTTCATTATGATATTGAGAAAGATATTTCCCTTTAACACATGCCATAAAATCCACGTCTAATTAAAACCACGAGAAATTTCATGCACTACACAATTTTAATCTCCAATAAAAAAAATTCTTTTCATTATGCCCTCAAATTTAAACTCTTTTTGTTTCTCAAAATTGTTTTGCTCATGGTTATCATTTTCAACATATTTTTTTGCATGATTTAATAAAAAAAATCACCAATAACATTATTATCTGACATAAAAAAAATTAACAGTTGCAATGTAAAAAACTGTTGAACCTTGCATAATATAAAATATGAAATATCTTTTGACTTTTCATCGCAACGAGAGACTTTACAAATTTTCATAACTCTACTTTCACTAGAGTATATATACTCTTTTAAATCTATAGATTTAGCGAAATCATATTTCTTCTCAAATTTGAAAAATGTTTAACATTACCAAGTGTTCAAACAATTCATAGAATAATTTAAAAGTGATTGTGTTAATATCTATAACCTTACAATCAGTGGCGAATATAGAAATTAAAAAATGGGAATCCAAAATTCTAATGTTCATATTCTAAAAAATTTGGGTAAGCAGTTTTTTTTTACTTTTTCCTATTTTCATTAACAAATTAAATTAAATTTAACATTTTTCTCAAAATAATAGGTGTGCAGTTGCTCCCTATGATACCACATATATCCACCCCTGCTTACAATATACATTATTTAAAAAATAGCACTTGTAAATATAGTTTTATACGTCATAAACTAGTCTCGATTGAGAATCGTATAAAAATTAGAACTAGAGTAAAAATCTACACCTCTCTTGTTATATAGTCTTTATCGAAAGCAACTAAAAGTTCATCATTACCATCTTCAACTACGTTAGGTTCTCTAGATTTCTCATATTATTTTTCTTTGTGACTTGTAACATCCTCCTAGTTTTTATTTTGTAATATATGGTATTTGACTTTAATATGTCCATTTTTCTTGGAATAATAGTAGGTTTCTCTTATGTTCCTAGACTTCGACCTACTCTTGTGTTATTGTCAATATATTTTATTCAGTTGTACCATAAAACAACGATACTATCTCATTGAGAGTTAGATCTAATCATGAGATACTTCATCTTATAATGTGAGGCTAAGGAATCATAAACTTCATCAATTGTGAGATATTTACGATTATACAAAATTTTATCTCTAAAGGTCAAATAAGGAGACAACGAACAAAACATGATAAAGAAACATCAAAATTTTCGTAAAAAATCAAACAGGAAAAACACAAGCAAATAAAAAGAGATTTTACTAATGTAAAAAAAAAGACAAAATGACCCTCTAATATCTATTTATAAGGATAAATAATTGATTACAAAGAAAACTTACATAAAAGAGATCTACTTGAACTAAATTCCAATTTTCCATCAACATCTAATAATAGAAACATAATCATATTCAAATCTAAAAGAAATTCATGTCATGAAATTCTAATGAAACTCCGACGCATATCATTTTATGTCATTGATTTTTGGGTAAATTATGCAAATGGTCACTAATGTTTGAGTAAGTTTTTGTTTTCACCACTGATATTTCAAAAGTCACAAATCGGTCACTAACGTCATTGTTTGTTACAAATTGATCACTCGACTTTAACAGGCGTGATGGAAAACACAACTGGTGTGTTAAATGCTTACATGGACTGGGTTTACCGCCATGTTGGAGACCCAAAAGCCTTCAACGGTCACCTCTTCTCCTTTAAAAAAACCCAATCCCAAAACTTAATTTAGGGGTTTCCTTCCTATATCTATTATTAAAAAAATCTAAAAATTGTAAGAGAAGAGAAATCTTGTGAAAATGGAAGACTCCATTGATCTTCTGCTTTGCAACTGTGGATGTCCAACTAAGGTTTTAATTTTGTTTTCTATCAAATCCAAAAGATGCTTACCATAAAACATAGTGTTGTCCCTCCTTTTTCGTAACCTCCATGTAAGTATGATGATTTTTCTTTGCTCGTTTTCTTACTACTTTTTCTCTCAGACGAATGGAAGAAGAAGAAATTATTTTTCTCACTATTTTTTCTCTTAGACGAATTGAAGAATGATAAATGGGTTTATGGAAGAAGAAGAAAAAGAAGAAGAAAGGGGTTTATGGAAGAAAAAGAAATGAGTTTATAGAAGAAGAAACAAAGAGTTTATGGAAGAAGAAGAATGGTAAATGAAACCCTTGATTCCTCATCCCTTTATTAATTAGGATAAACTACACAGTTGATCACTAATGTTTGAGTGAGTTTTCGTTTTCCCACTGAAGTTTCAAAAACGTGGCGGTTAACCCACTAAATCCACTCCGTGTAACAGTTAATGTGTCAGTTGTGTTTTCCGTTACACCTGTTAATGTCTGTTAATATCGAGTGACCAATTTGTAATAAACGATAACGTTAGTAATCGATTTGTGACTTTTAAACATCTGTGGTGAAAACGAAAACTTACTCAAACATTAGTGACCACTTGCGTAGTTTACCCTTGATTTTTTTACCAATTAAATGGCTAGATTTGTGTAATAAAAGAATATTGATTCAAGATAGATCACTGTTAAGTATTTTTCTTTCTCAATTTAACATTTCCGCCGGCACTAGCTAGCATTAGACCCAAGACTTGCATGCCAAAAATCAACTTCCGTAGTGTATATATATATGCAGCTAAGAAACTCTAATGGAACCTTCACCTTCAAGTATCTTCTTAATCAGTTTCAAGATACAAACTTTATTTAGATGTTGATTTTTCAAGTGTTTAAATATAACTTTTTAAACATGAATTTATTGAAAAGACAAAAATTTTAGACATAATCCGCTGTTTTTGTTTGGCTCGTGTTTATACTCATGTAAATATGTATCCTAAAAAATATTGTTTTTTTTCTTTTTTTAAATAAAATTTGTAAACAGTTCATTTGTTTTGCTCCCTTCTTTTTCTTTTCTTCTATTTCAAATCATTTTTCTCTTCCTCCCATTTTGTCCCTTGATTAATAAAAATGAGAGTAATTTGTTATCCATTGTAGACGACTTTCCTTTAAAATTAAAAATATAATACAAAATCGTCAAGAGGAGACGATAGTATTACTATTAATGGTCAAACTTACTATTATTATTATTATTTTTGTATTTTTTACAAGAGCGTATTATTACTGTAATTTAACCTTAAAAAAATGGAGCCCTAAAACACAAAAATAAAATAGAGCTGGTGCCCAATTGTAAACTCAAAATGATACCCAATTGCTCTACTTGCTTCATATCTCACCCCAGCCTTTTATAATTTATCGCCATCCTTTCTTACAGGGTTTATCAGAGGTTCTTATTCGAAAAGCAGCGAAAGCAAAGCAAATGGGGTCTATAATGGCTGTACGTCGTGGACGGAGCCCAACACCAACTCTCACTTATCTCTTCTCCAAGGTACGCCTTAACTCCTCTCCCTTCACTTTCGATCGCCACTTTGATAGAACCCATTTTTTATCCCTGGGCGCAAAGTCTCTTAGCACTTCCACCATCCCAAACAACTACCAGAGATCCCCGCCTCCTCCTCACAACCAACACCAGCAACCGCCACTGTCATCTGATCCCAGGGATTTTCATGGCCGACCAAACCCTAATTTCAATAACCAAGGGTCCCCTCAAAACCAGGGTTACCATCATCCGCAACAACAGGGCGGAGTTCCTGGTAACAATCAATGGAATCCCCGGCTGAATCAGGGCCACGGTTATTCTCAACGAGAAATTCCTAATCAGTGGAATCACCAGCAGAATCAGAATCAGGGTTATTCTCAACGAGAAAGGCCTAATCAGTGGAACCCCCAGCATAATCGAAGCTATCCTCAGTACCCAAATGCTAATCCGATGAATACACAAATGCCCAGAAGTCCAAATCAGTGGAATAATCAGGATCAAAGCCAAGGGTACCCTCAAGGTAGAAATTATAATGAAAGAGCTCCACAAAGTCAAAACCCTAATCAGTCGGGCAGTGTCAGAGGGAATCAAGGCCAAATGATGGAGCATGTACAGACTGAGCCAGCTCCTTCATTGATAGATTTAACGCGGTTGTGTCATGAGGGGAAAGTTAAAGAAGCTATTGAATTGATGGGTAAAGGAGTTAAAGCTGATGCTAATTGTTTTTCGTCTTTGTTTGAGTTAATTGGAAATCCCAAATCACTTGAGGATGCAAAGAAAGTTCATGATTACTTCTTGCAATCGACCTGTCGAGGTGACCCTAGATTGAACAATAAAGTGATTGAAATGTATGCAAAATGTGCTAGCATGACTGATGCACGAAGAGTTTTTGATCACATGCCTGATAGGAATATGGATACTTGGCATTTGATGATTAATGGGTATGCAGACAATGGCTTGGGAGATGATGGGTTGCAGTTGTTTGAGCAGATGAGAAATTTTGGATTGAAACCGACTGAACAGACTTTCCTTGCAGTTCTTTCAGCTTGTGGTACTGCAGAAGCTATAGAAGAAGGGTTTTTACATTTTCAATCAATGGAGAGTGAGTATGGGATTTCTCCGGGGGTCGAGCATTATATGGGCCTTATGGGTGTTCTTGGAAAATCTGGTCATCTTTATGAAGCTAAAGATTATATTGAGAAAAAGCTGCCTTTCGAGCCAACTGTTGAAGTTTGGGAGGCATTGAGGAATTATGCTCGAATTCATGGAGATGTTGATCTTGAAGATTATGTTGAGGAGTTGATTGTTGATCTTGACCCATCAAAGGTTGATGCTAATAAAATCCCCACGCCACCACCAAAGAAACGTACTGCAATCAGCATGCTTGATGGAAAGAACAGAATTGGTGAATTTCGTAATCCGACCCTTTACAAGGATGATGAGAAACTGAAAGCCTTGAAAGCGATGAAAGAAGGAAGTTATGTGCCTGACACAAGATATGTTCTTCATGACATTGACCAAGAGGCAAAAGAGCAAGCACTTCTGTACCATAGTGAGCGATTGGCAATTGCGTTTGGTCTAATCAGTACCCCAGCTAGGCAAACTCTTAGGATCATCAAGAACCTCCGTGTATGTGGTGATTGTCACAATGCCATCAAGATCATATCAAGGATTGTTGGGAGGGAATTGATTATTAGAGACAACAAGCGTTTCCATCATTTCAAAGATGGCTTATGTTCTTGTGGTGATTACTGGTGAAAGACCTCACATCATTGCAAGGATGGCTTATTAGAGAGATCACATGCTCTTCCATCATTTCAAGGATGGCTTATATTCTTGCAGTGATTACCAGTAAAAGGCCTCACATCAGTTTTGTGAATTCTTTCTATTTAGATTTTGATATATAATGTTTTAGAGTTTTAGGGAATATGCATTGCTGTGAATGGGACTGTTGTTGACTCGCTGCATGTGTTTTCAAGTGAATGGCTCATTATTGGGCAATATGTATACGTTTCTGCTTGTTCTGATGCTTAATTAGTAGTATTTTACTAAGTTTTTAGTGTCTGCTCTTCTACATAGCCTTTTTTTCCCTGAAATAAACCCGCCTGATCCATTTTCTTGTTTTCCAATAGATTTAGGAGCTAAGTGTGGAAACTTTGAAGAAATGGTGATTAGTTCATTAGAGATATGTCATTTTACTTCGGCTCCATAGTACATTTCCAGGATTCAGAAGTACAAAACCCACCATGAAAATATGTTGCTAAAGTGAATATATTGATCCCAATAGTATTCAAGTTTTACATAAATTTGATGGCAATCTGTTGGTCAGCTTGGGATCTTGATCTGTTTTCATGTGGACCGTTTCAATGAACTGAATGTTGGAATTCAAACGCTATTATCACAGTCGACATGCACGTCCTTTATATTTTCAAGCAAGTGATTTTTTTAGTATCTCAAATCCAACAAAAAAAGGGGGGAAAGAAATGTAACATACAAAATTTGTTGCATGGCAGCTATTAATGAAAATGACCAAATGACTACTGTGTTCATTAGATGGTTTAATGACTTGGAAGATTCATGAAAATGATGTTAAAGTTACAAAAGATGCCCATGTTTTGGATACAAAAGCAGTGATAACTACTAATTTGACAGTAGCACAAACTGTTTTATTCTTTGAGGCATACAAACCGCTTCTTTTAACCAGAGAAATCAAAGTTACATTGACATGCATTAAGGGAAGAAGCTCCCAGATCCAAACAAATAAAATAAAATGCCCTTCTAATCAAGCTTAATAGTTCATCATGTTCATGAATTCATCCATGTCAACCATATTGTCGGTGTTCACTTCTCCTTCCATTTTCTTGCACTCCAAGCTGCAATTCTCCCCAAATCTCCATCACTTCTGCACTTATTTTCCATCACAGTTGAGGTCGAATGTGCTTAAACTGTTCTAAATGTCCATCCTCATCACTCTTTTTGTGCACTCCCACGAAGTCCTTGAAACTGATAAACTCATCTCCATTAAAACCAGCCACTTGAGTGATCTTGGGTACAGTTTGAGCCATGTTTCCTTGCCCTTGAGTCCTCAACATGGCCTTGTACTCCATCTGAGAAATCTTCCCATTTCTGTCGGAATCATACTTAACAAAAACTTCTCAGTTCTTTAAATCAGGTTGGAAAGAAGTCAACAACCCATAGTTTTGCCCATTCTGGAAAACAGGCGCAATGGTTTGCACAAGAACTTGTTCTTGAAAAGCTTTTATTGGAATTTGAGAAAACTAACATTCAACATATCTGCTGATATTGTTTATCCGACGATAGCAAGAAACAAAATCTGTTCAAGTATATGCAGGTTTCAAGACTCCATGTTCGATTTTCGCAGCTTGGGTGCCTTACAAATTTATATGTCGTTCATGGCAGATGAGAAAGTGTTGTTCTAATTCTAAAGCAAGAGATAAGTTGCATTTAAGGCTACTGTTTCATGCTTTATCAGCCTGCAAGCCAGCAATGAAGAAAAATGTCCCAAAGTTCCAAAGTAGGATTAGAAGAGAGATGTGACTGTGTGCGAGGACGATAATCATAAGAATACATTATTTAATAAACTTACATGCGATTCCTTTTCCCTCTTTCAAATCTCAATCAGAAAAATCTCTTAATTCTTCTTTTTTCTTTTTGGCTCTCTTTCACCCTCTACACATGTAAGGAATAGTCTACGTAAAATGTTCGACAAAAGGTGTTAGAAAAATACGAATCCGGAAAGTTGTTAACAAATCATTCCAAACACAAGTTGGAAAAAGTTCAAGGTGGCTTTCCGTTATCCACATCCTTCATCACTTCAATATCCTTCCTAGCTGTTATATTCTGCACGTAACCTGCAACGAATGATGAATGTTACATTGCGGTCGCTATATGGAACAAACACCAAAAAGTAGTTCCTTTAGTCATCAAATAATCAAAGAGTGACTCATCACTCATCATATTGACCTATTCATCATCTTTGTTCAGTGTCTGCATTGAAAACCAAAGTTCAAGAAACAAATAACCTTTAACAGGAGGAGTTAGTCACGATTTTTCTAAAAGCAATAAACAGTTGGAAATTTGGGAAGCTAAGGCCTATAAAAATCTGTCTTAAATAAGAGCCGAGAACATAATTCTGGAATCTGAAAATTAATCTGATAATTGATTCAATCAAAAGCCCTCAAAGCACCCTACAGATAAAGCATCTTGATAAGCTAAAGTAAATTCTCAATGGCTGCTATATTATCAAGTATTCTAATCTCTCATAGAAAAAACATATGTAAAAGAGGTTAGCTTTACTCGATTATTAAAGACATTATCAAAACAGCAGCAAAATCTCTGATAACAGAAGCATAAGATTAAACTTCTCAAAAAGCATCTCAATACATTTTCTTTATACAATGTCTAAACTACTCATAATCCTCTTAAACGCCTAATTGGAAAAAATTGCACGCTTAAGCTAGCTCAAAGCCACTTCCTCTTGGTAGTTGCAACTTGCAACAGTAACGTGTCAACCAAACTAAGACTAAGTTGATATATCAATACATATTAAATGTACTAAATTAACATAAAAGGGTTCCTAGTAGCATTCAGATTTCTACTAAATAAGTGACTAGGCTTAAGTGGCAAGTGGCAACTCACTGTTGAAGTCTAAATCATGATGAGCGATAGGTTTACTTGAGGGAATCTACATATATTCTTCTCACCAATATAGACTTCGAATAGTTTCCGATACTCTTTACATGTTGAGCTATGCTTCCAAGTAAAGTTAATCGAGTTACAATATAATTGCAATATATGTTGTTTGACTCTACATTTTTCTTGAAGCATCCATATTAGATAGGGGTAATGGAATATGATCCTAAAAGAACCTCCGAACACATGAAAAGTTTTGGGGAAAGAATTGAATATACACATGCTGCACACATCCATTTCCAATACTCGACTAGAGTCCCAGCAACAAGCATTGCAGTCATAAGAAGAGGGAGATAGCCAGATAGTCTTCCAAATTGAAATTTGATATCAACATGATGACAAATAAGAAGAGGGGAATACCAATTCCAAGGCAAGGTATACATTTGCAAATAATCTCTTTTCCTCTTTTATTATAGTAGCTAACAAGTCCAGTGCCCTGGCAACTCCTGCACTTTCCAGTCCATTCGTAAACCACTTCCTTACAATCCTACAAACAAAACCCATCTAAGATCAAGAAATTCTAATCTCCAAAAACTATCACGTTACTCTTGAATCGAACTATAAACAAAGAAACAAACCTCGATTTCGGGGTCACATTGGAGTCGCTTATCGATTTCTTCAGGGGTAACAGGGGAAGAATCAGGGTAGGTCATAGGAAGAGGAAGAGGTTCATCGTCATCAGTCAAATAGCTCTCCCGATTCCTCGACCATTTTTTGACCTTGATGCTACTCCCAGGTGGGGCTTCGTAGTTATCTTGTCCGATTCTCACACCACCTCCGTAAATATCGGAGGCTGTCGGGAAATGGAACCACTTACGGGAGGTGGGACCGGCGGGAATATCGCCGGCGGAGGCGAAGCAGCGGATTGAGGTTCGTGGAAGGATGGGAAGTAGTGGGGATGGCTTGGCGTGGAAAAGGCTAGGGTTTGGAGATAACATTCGAGGAAAAACTGAGAATGAAATGAAAGGGAAAATGGGGAGAGTGGATTGAATGGAGACCGGTGAACAACAAGAAACGGGAGATGATTGCAAAGCTCTGCAGTTTTGGAAAGAGGATTTTACAGCCCCACTTTGTCATTTTCTTCCAACATTTTTTTTCTAATCTTAAAACCACAACATTATCATCCCAGGAAAGACTGATGAATGTTCATAATGTAATAGAATGTAATGAATCTGTCTTCAATACATCTTTCTCTTGTCAATGTCCTTCAACACAAATAAGACTTTTTGTTAGCGTTGAATCAATTTCAAGAGCCGTCAAATGATCATAGGCTGTAAAGTCTATTTAAGTAGTGTTAAAATTTAAAATTGAGTTCGATTCGACTAAAATATCACGAGTCAGAAATTATCAACTTCGAATCAAACTTAAATAAAAAGTTAAAGTTTGACTCGAATCAAAAGATTAAATTTTCAAGTTCAACTTGAAATAAAAAATTGAATCTAGACTCGAGTTAGAATTTTTTTAACTCTAAACATTTTCAGCCTTAGTTTAATTGAAGTCCGAACTCGAACTTGAACTTGAAAGTACAAAAAACTTATATTATATTAAAAAATAACATAAAAATTTAATAATATTAATGATTTAATTAAAAATATAAAATTTAATATATTATTTTTTCGAGTTGTTTGGAAAATTTTAATCGGATAATAACAATATTATTGTATAAAAATATTAATTTCATACTGAAAGTCGTTTGAAAGATGTGAAGTTTCTCGAAGACTTTAAGAGAAATCAATAAGATACAAGTTCCTGAGCTTCAAGGTTCACACCAGCAGATGTTCACTTTGAGTGAGAATCTTTGGGAACAGAGGTTGGATCACTTGTGCGAAGGATATGACAATGAGGTGGTGACTCCTGAGGGATAAAATAATCATTTTATTGAGGTTTGTATAAACAGTATCTTTAAGACAAATCCATCCTCCTCTCGATGCATAAGAATGTTGGATGACTATCGCCTATGATACATTAAGAGACAGTTCATTGATATATATATTAAACTACTAGCAAACGTTTAATCTGTCCATGTAAACTTCAGCAAACTCATCTTGGAACATGATAGACCTGGAACTCCGGCAAAGATCCCAAATCAAGTGCTGCCAGAAGTGTGGCATAAGAAGAAAATGGCCATTAAGATACGGGAAACTGACTGGTGAAATAACCAGTTGCTGCTGACAATTAGGAACTTACTTTTTGGTGACCTACAATCAAATAGGCTCAAAACGTACACCCATTGTTACTGTTGTCATCGCAGTAATTTATATGTATTTATTTTGGCTTATAGATTCCGGATAGGGTTATTGTTGTAGTAAAATGGGTTTGTATGGGAGGGGATCAGTTATTATGAAAGAAGCGGATGGATTTATGTTTGATTCCTTGGCACTGTTTCCTCACCATGCTTTCAACGATAGATTTAGATGTGATAGTACTTTGTTATACTTTGCCAATATAATTTCCCATCAACCTGTTCTGTTAAAATTATCTTCAAAGAGATTCATCGAAGGGCAAGAGTATTCGACGAATTCCTCAATAAACCCGAAAGATTTATTTTGATTAATTCTGTTAAAGGTTACATTTATACATTTTGTTAGGTTATACACAACTATCATAATCTAAATTTAACGTAAGCATGCAAAGAGAGTTATTATAAAGTCATTATATAAATCCCAATACACCAGAATGAACTTCGACTATTTTCTCCTTCCATCCTAGAGCTCTCAATTTAGTACTTTGCCTTCATAACTATATATAACTTATAACCTTTACAATTTTACATAATCAATTAACCACCGGTCGATCATCGACTATGATGTATTTATTTATTTATTGACATAAATAGAAGCAGTTGGTTTATTAAAAAAAAGATAATATTTAAAATTACAATAAAGACTTGCAATGATAAGTAAAAGCTAAACACATAATTAGGACTCAACGACTGTTGCATTTACAGTCGTCGACAGTCACATCCATCGATTGGTGAAGGCCAAACTTTTCAGTCAGCACATTTTCAATCTCTTGAACGTGATTTCGGCTTCCTTTTTATCGAAAAATGCCTCAATCTTCTCAAATCGACGATGGATTTTTCGATTTCTTCATCCTCTGGTCTCTGTCGCCAACCGTCCGATGAGCCTTAAACGGTACTATGTTGGTCAACTCGTCATTCTCTTATGATCTACCGTTTGAATTGGTCTTCCATCCACCAAAGTTATGCCTAGTCAGCCGTCTGTTAAGTTTTTAGGTATGATTTTTAAAAAATTAAAAGTTTAGGTATTCAAATTGATATTTTAGGTATTGAACGCGTAATTTACCCTTTTCCAATTTCACACTGTAATTCTCTCACAATTGTAACGCCTGGCTGCTTTCCAACTACATAACACAAAGTTCAAAGTTTATTCAAGCTTGTGGGGTTGGAGTTTCTTTTCTTTTAATGATGGCTGAGAGTGTTCAGAGTTTTGAGGGGGACCAGGCGACTGCGACTGCAACTACAAGTACTCGTTTTTCTCAGTTATTGTTTGGTGGTGGTGGTGATGATGATCTTGGCCAGGGTTTTAACAACAGTCCTTTTGATGTTGGTGATCATGACAAGACCCTCAAAATGCTTTGCTTTGGGGGCCATCAAAATGATGTGAGATAGTATTTGGTCAAGAATCTGCTATTATTGCTACTAAAAAACCTGCTGCTGGGGTCGCATGCAGTGATTCTTCGTCCGCTTCTTCTGGTAACAACACCAAATCCTTCAAGGCTCCCTCGAAATCTAATGTGAGTGTGTTAGGTGTTAATTTTTGCCTTTTTCATTTGAATTTATGGAAAGAAGGCTTACTTTTTAAAGACCCAAAGAGGAATGATGACGCCATTGTTGACGCTCAACCGGCAAGCCGAATAACCAGTAAAAAGTCAAAGGTTGAGAACCCCGCCACCGGCCATGCAAAGGTTGCTTTATACATGTTGATCTATTTTTTAAACTTCCACTTTATAGATGATCAATTCTAACAGATGATCTCCTTTACTAATAATTACAGGTGAGGAAAGAGAAGATAGGGGATAGAATCACAGCATTGCAGCAGCTGGTTTCACCTTTTGGCAAGGTTCGAAATTTTATTCATGGTTCAACTTAACAAATTCATTATTCACTGAATAGGAATCCTATGAGACAACTCTGGGTATTTGAAATGTTGCAGACAGATACGGCATCAGTACTCCATGAAGCGATGGGTTATATCAGGTTCGTGCATGACCAGGTTCAAGTCCTTTGTTCTCCTTACCTGCAACACCCACCTGTAAGTAACCAAAAATAAAAACCCTTTCTTCTTTTTTAAAAAGATTTTTTTGATTAATAAATGGTGGAAAGAAAGGACTTGAAATGGTCTGTTATTTTCATTGTGTTGTTAGAACGGTGGCGAAGAAGCAGGGAAGGAGCTGAAGAGCAGAGGGCTATGTCTGGTCCCTGTTGCCTGCACTTTGCATGTGGCGAATAGCAACGGTGCCGATTTTTGGTCGCCGTCAATGGGAAACAATATAATATGAAGCAGTGGTGGCATTGTTGTGTGAGAAATTTTGACAGATGATTTTGAAATGGATCATCAAAAGGGGTAAAAAGAACAGGAACCTGGGAAAGATAACTCCTGATTCAGGGCTAAAAGACAGTGATGGTGCCATTGGTATACTGTTAAAAGAGAAGTGTTTGGTCTCTTTGTTGTTTTTGGTTTAACGAATTTTGAAAAGTGAAAATAATCTCAGGACCAAAAATGTCTTATAATATATGATTTTAACCAATTTTTTTTTGGATTTACCAAAATGACCAACTAAATCGCAATGCGATCGATAATTTGCAACGATTTCCCAAATTCGCATTACGATTTTCCAAATTCGCGTTGCGATTTTCATAGCGTCATTCGTATTAACGCGTCATTCGAAAACTGAACCGTCCACAGTATATCCCGTAATCGCAACTTATAACCTAAAACCTAAAATCACAACTCAGTCTCATCTCCATCTCTCACTCTCTACGGCGAAATCCATCCCCATCTCCGAAGATTTCCGTCCCCATCGCCGGCAAAATCCCTCACAACCATTCACGGTCAGAAATCCCTCACAATAATTCAGAAATGGAAAATCAACCTCCGAGTATTAGTTTTTTTAATTATTTTTATTTTGAAAATTTTGTATTATTTTAGGTTTTTCATATTAAAATTGATGATAAGTTTACTGGTAATTTCAATAATAGATTAACCATTTCACTTAGATTTCTTATTAAATTCATTGATTGCTGCCAATACTGTTAAATTGTTTAGTCTTTAACCCTGTGAAGTTAGTATTTGTCTTTGTTTTGTCTTTTGGTTGAAATAATGCAGAAGAATAATAGTTTCTAAACTTAAAATCGCAACATGAAAATGAAAATCGCAACGCAAAACCAAAATCGAAACCAAAATCGCATTGCGATTTTCATTTTGCGTTGCGATTCTCTCGTTGTGATTTTAATTTCGCGTTGCGATAGTCATTTCCGCGTTGCGATTTTCATTCTCTCGTTGCGATTTTCATTTCAACCAAAAGACAAAACGGTGTTGCAAATTTTAGTTTCAAGAATAAACTACTATTTATGTTTATTGTTTTTGGTATATCTTCACAGTGTAGTTTTTGGTATATCTAACTTGGTATGTTTATTATTTTTGTAGAAATTTTTTTCGGCTTCATTGACATTAAGGAATAAAGTTAGCCTAACCACTACAATTGCTTCGAAGCTTTCACCTGCACAAAGAAAATTGTTTGAGGAAACCTGCTTCGGGCCATGGCTGAGAGTACAGCATCCGGTGGAGATGCTAATTTGACCCATTTGTGGCTTCAGACCATGACTAGCAATCTACCCGACAGTATACAACGTGGTGAGGAAGAGATATGGTTTCATTTTCCACCGGCGTATACTTGTTTTGGGCGGAAGGAGTTCTACTTAATCACTGGTCTACAATTCAGACACGATGATGTAGGCCGGTACACTCGTCATATCACCCGCCCATCATGGTTATCCAGAGTTTTTCCTGATGAGTCAATAGAGAAGCCGAACTTACACGTCGATGACCTGAAGAAATTGTTTAATAAGAAAGATGGTTTTACTCGGATGAATGACGTCGATGTTGTCCGAGTATGCCTTCTAGTACTTTTGTATGCCGGGTTTTTAGGCAGAGAGGCCAGACAACCTATTCCTTAGGAGCTAATATTATTGATAGAGGACCTAAATGCATGGAATCTGTTTCCGTGGGGTTCGTATATATGGAAAGCTACCTGGACTAAGTTGTCGTCTGCCTTTGATGACCGCAAAAGTTTGCGTCGCGATGGGTCGAAATACACTTTGTCAGGCTTTGTTTGGGCCTTTAAGGTAAGAATTTCTATATAATGTTTTCAAAATTATAATTAATTATTTAACAATTACTAATGTTTGTTATTATATTGTTTGTAGATTTGGATATTCGAGGCTTTCCCCAGCATGCGGACATGTGTATTAAAAACTTCAAATGATATTCCTAGGGCTATTTCCTGGAAGAGGAAACGTCTGTTGGATTGGGAAACTTAATACCATATGCGACAATAAATAATGTAAGTTAACACAAATACTATCATATATAAACAAGTTATTAATAGTAGACGTTTAACTTTGTTTGAGTTTTTATATTTTTATGAGGCCAACACTCCATTAATGAGACTGACACCCACGGAGGCTGAGCTTGCCACTGATTGGTGGCAAACTAGTCAGCGTTTTCTTGATGGCACGAATGATGAGCAGCCTCTACTTCCTCCACTTCGAGAGCCATCACCTCACCCAGAGCCATCACCTGATCGACCCGACTATACACCTCTACAATGAGAGCCATCACCTATCCCGTCACATCATCGAGCCTCTTTTCCACCATCACCTCATGATAGGCGACCGGCAAAGATGCCACGACTTCTATCTCCCTGTTCTCCACCTCCACCTCCACAGGATGAGTCAAGGGAGTTACGTGATGATGTCAATGCCTTGCGTGAGGAGATCAATACTCTACGCGATAATGATGGTGCATGGCGTGTGGAGGTGTCTACTTTACGTGGTGAGGTTGCCGCTCTACGTGATATGGTAATATCGTTTCAGAATGAGGTTCATACTCTACGCAACGAGGTAAGTTTAAGATTTTCCATATTTAACTTGATGATAAATTTACTCGTAATTTCACTTAGATTAACCATTTCACTTAGATTGCTTAGTAAATTTATTCGGTTGCTGCCAATACTGTTAAACTGCTTATTAACAATGTGAAGTTAGTATTTGTCTTTTGTTGTCTTTTGGTTGAAGTAAATTTATTCGATTGCTGCCAATTCTGCTAAACTGTGTATTCTTTAACACTGTGAAATTAGTATTTGTCTTTGTTTTGTCTTTTGGTTGAAAGTAAATTTGTTCGGTTGCTGCCAATTCTGCTAAACTGTGTATTCTTTAACACTGTGAAGTTAGTATTTGTCTTTGTTTTGTCTTTTGGTTGAAAGTAAATTTGTTCGTTTGCTGCCAATTCTGCTAAACTGTGTATTCTTTAATACTCTGAAGTTAGTATTTGTCTTTGTTTTGTCTTTTGGTTGAAGTAATACAATCCATTCAAGTTTCAATTTGCAGAAGAAGAAGAAATAGTTTATTCTTGAAACTATATTTTAGCAACACTGTTTTGTCTTTTGGTTGAAATGAAAATCGCAACGAGAGAATGAAAATCACAACGCGAAACCAAAAATCGCAACGCGAAACTATAATCGCGTTGCGATTTTCATTTCGCATTGCGATTCTCTCGTTGCGATTTTCGTTTCGCGTTGCGATTTTCATTCTCTCGTTGCGATTTTCATTTCGCGTTGCGATAGTCATTTTTCACGCTGCGATTTTAAGTTCCAGAAACTATTCTTCTTCTGCAAATTGAAACTTGAATGAATTGCATTACTTCAACCAATAGACAAAGACAAATACTAAGTTGACAGTGTTGCAAGTTTGAAACATATTTGTCTTTGTTATCTGATGCATTTTGTGAACTATGATAGAATAATGACTTGGGTGAATTCAATGCAAGTTTGAAACATATTTGTCTTTGTTTTCAATGTTTAAATATCATGTCTGTTTATTTACTGATTTTTGTATTTAATTATTTAGCAGCCCGATAAGGTGGATGCTTTACGTCGGGTTTTTCTTGCACGACAGAGTTCACGCATCAGACGTCGTGCACGTGCTATTAAGTCTCTGTACACCCCAATAGTGCGAAGACACCGCAAGAAGAAGCCCGACTCGCCTGTCATCCCTCAAGAGTCCACTCCTATCATTGAAGAGGCCCCTATCATTCCTCGAGAGTCCCCTCCCACCGTTCAAGAGGCCACTGTCATCGTTGAAGAGGTCCCTCCCACCATTCAAGAGCCCGATTCACATGGCGTCATATGTAATATTCTTGAGAAACCCTCTGACGTGCCGGACATGATGGATGAGAGTTGGCTCTCGTATGAGTTATTGGCCAGTACCATTCCGGTATCTGAAGTGGAGAGGAGACAACTACCGGACACAATTCTGGATAACACCCTTTGGGCTAAGACCGCAGTTGATTTTTATCTACATGAGCGGAGCCAGGGGTGTTTCACTGACATATGCAAGCTCAACGATGATATCTATTTGTTGCTTGATCGGTCTTGGTGGGGCGTATTATTAGGGGTCGAAGACAATGGCTATTTTGATTGAGGGGTAAGTCTTATATTTTTCTTATATTTCAATTTGATTTTTTTTAAATTTATGTAAGTTACTAATATATGTCTTTTTTTGTAAAACAGCATATCGATGCGTGGGTGTCACGTCTTCTAATAATTAGGAAACTTAAGGAAAATAAAAGAAATACACGATATACAATTATGCCGACGTCTTTTAACACCGTTCACTTGAAGAATCAACGAGATGAATCATTTGCGTTGGGCAATGGACAAGCTAAACTTTATCCTACATGGTGGGAGGTCGATAAGGTTAGTATTTATTTTAGATTGAGTTTAAAGGTATTCATAAATAAGTGCGCAAATGAATGAATTATTACTTATGATTGCAGGTGTTTATCCCTGTTTTGGAACGTAAACATTGGCTTCTCGTCGAGCTTCAGCTCCCATCCCTTTTGCTTGACACCATATGAGCTTTGGATTTTGATGAGGATCCATATTTTGGTAGAGGAAAAGATGATTGTGATGGCACTGGTGATCCACATGTCAACCTTGTATGACCACTTTCCTTGCACCGACTACATGTCGATCTCTTCTTCTCTTCACCCTTAGACGGTATGCGATCGTGACTTTTTGGTCGGCCAGGTAGCCTTCTGTCCATGGCTGGTGGCAAAACTGTTTGTAAGTCATCTGGTATGTCCCACTCAGAAGGATGTGGAATAGGGTAGACAATCTCGCCATAAGTCAATCGATATACTTCTATAGTGTAGCAATCCATAGCGTATGCGCTTGAATCATCTTGGTTTAGATGAAGAGAAACTTTTATAACATGGCCACACAGATAACCAGATGTTTGCTATTTCATACAACTACACGTCTTTGCATTTAGATCGACAAGCCCATTT